TCCGCCATGGGTACCACCTTTACTACCCTGTAAAGCTGGTGTCCTTTGTGTGTGTCTGCTCCCCAAACAAATCAAGATGGAGACTTTACTGCCATGTTCCCCTCTGGTCTGAGCACAGGGCCTGAAAGCTCACAGGGCTCAAAACTTACTTAAGTCAGCACTTGGGAGGCAGAGGCAGGTGGGGCCGTCTACCTAATGCATCACAAATAGTCATCATTCCAAAATGCAGGGTTGGACCCTGGGAGCACAGCCTGGTGATATATGCTTGGCTGGTATGCAGGAGACTCTAGAGTCCAACATTAGCACTGCAAAAAAGAAAGAACACTGCAGACCCCTCAGTGGCTCCTAATTATCATTAATATGGAGGCCCAAACTACTTAGCAGGATTGTAGGGTCCTAGAGAATCTGGTTGCATCTCTTCCCTTAGTATGAAGCCATCTGGCTTTGGCACGTTTTATTGTGAATAGATTTTTATGGATTCAAGTTATTATGATTGTAGTCTACTCAGATTATTTCCTTTATATCTGTTTGATAAGATATCATCTAGGAAACATTTCAAATTTACTGGCATGATGATGCTCACAGTATTCTTAAGCTGTTACATTATCCATAATTCTATGCACTTAAAAATTTCCAGTATCTTGGGACATGGTGGCACACACCTTTAATCCCAGCACTTGGGAAGCAGAAGCAGGCGGATCTCTGTGAGTTCGAGGCCTGCCTGGTCTACATAGTGAGTTCCAGGTCAGTTGGGACCACAGAGAGACCTTGCCTCAATAAAAGACCAATAAAAAAAAATTCCCAATATTGACCAGGTGTGGTGGCACTCACCTTTAATCCCAGCTCTTGGGAAGCAAAGGCTGGCAGATCTCTCAGAGTTTAAGGCCAGCCTGGTCTATATAGTGAGCTCTAGCACAGCTAAGGCTACACAGACTCTGACTGAAAAAAAAAAAAATTCCTAGTACATGGGGCTGGAGAGGTGGCTTAGCGGTTAAGAGCACTCATTGCCCTTTCAAGGACCTGGTTTGGTTCAGTTCCCAGCACTCACATGGCAGCTCACAACTGCCTGTAACTCCAGCTTTAGTGGATCTATTGCCCTTTCTGGCCTCTGTGGGCACTAGGCACATACATGGCATACATACATACATGCAGGCAAACACACACATAAAAATAAATCTTTTTAAAAAAAAACCCTAAAATTAGGGATGGGGATGTAGCTAAATTGGTAGAGTGCTTGGCTAGCAAGCATGAAGCCCTGGGTTTGATCTCCAGCACAGCATAAAACCAGGCCTGTAATCCCAGCACTTGGGAGATGGAGATAGGAAGATCAGGGGTTCAAGATTTACTTTGACTACATAGGGAGTTCAAGGCCAGCCTGGGCTACATGAAACCACGACTAAAGAAAAAAAAAATTCAGGCCTGGAGAGATGGCTCAGTGGTTAAGAGCACTTGCTGCTCTTGCAGAGGAACAAAGTTTGGTTCCTAGTGCCCAAACTGGGTTGCTCACATCCACCTTTAAGTTTAGCTCCAGGGGATCTGATGCCCTCTTCTGGCCTTCACAGGTGCCTGCACACACCTGTACATATTAACATATAACAAACCCCTAAATAAAAATAAAACTGAAAGCAATCCTAGTATGGGCTGTGGATGTAGCTCAGTGTAGAGCATTAGTCTAGCCCACTCAAGGCCCTGAGTTTCTCAGCACCCTTTACAGAATCTCCCTAAACTTATTTTTGCTCTGTGTGTGTGTGTGTGTGTGTGTGTGTGCATGTGCCCATGCACATGTGCCACTGCTTGGGTGTGGAGGTCAAAGGACAACCTTGGCTATCTGTCCCCTTTTATCTTTTTGACAGTCTCTTGTTCACTGACGCATACACCAAGCTAGCTGACCCACAGACTTCTGGGGATTCTCCTGTCTCTGTTTCCTGTCCCCCCTTAGCAGTGCACTGGGACTACAGTCTGTTGTGCTATTGGGTCAGGCTTTTTATGTGCATTCTGGGATCCAAACTCAGGTTTTCAGGCTTGTGTAGCAAGTACTTTACTCACAGAGACATCTCCCCAGTTCTATTATTGCCCCCTCAATTTGAGGCAGATGCTTAGCACATTGTCAGTCTGTCTTTTATAAATAAGTGTGGAAGGTTTTTAAAAATATTTTTATTTTATGTGTATGCGTGTATTGCCTGCATGCATGCAAATGCACCTTTCATGCAGTGCCCTTGGAGGTCAGAAGAGGGTGTCAGATCTCCTGGACCTGGAGCCAGGGACAGCTGTTAGCTGCCATGTGGGTGCTGGGATTCAAACCTGGGTGGGTCCTCTGCAAGAACAGCCAGTGTTCTTAACCGCTGAGCCATCTCTCCAGCCCCAGTAATGGAAGTTTTAAGGTTTTTCTTTAGTTATGTCCCACAAGTATTTTTTCATTTTTCTTTTTTTTGTGCAGGGAATTGAACTCAGAGCCTCATGAATATTGTTTGTGTTCTATCACTGAGCTACATCCTAGCCTATTATATTCAGTTGTTTTTTTTTTTTTTTTTTTTTTTTTTTTTTTTTTTTGTCTATTTGGGACACTGTCTCCCTGGAGCCCAGGCTGGCCTGGAACTCACAGAGATCCATCTGTATCTGCCTCCCTTCCCGTGTGCCATCATGCCTGTCTAGTTCTTAAGTCTTAATATGTGGTATTCCCATTATTATATTCAGTTCTGAGTACTTAAAATTTTGGGGGGATGCTAGGGTTTGAACCCAGGGCCCCAGCCATGCAAGGTCTTCGCCATGCCCAGCTCTCAAATTTCCATCATGATTTTTTCTGAATTATGTGGATGCCCACATATACTCCTTTAGTTTTTAACAGGATCTTGCTATGTAGCCCTGGATGGCCTGGGACTCACTGTGTAGATCAAGCTGGCCTTGAACTCACACAGTGATCCTCCTGTCCAAGCCTCCCAAGATTTAGGATTACAGGCATGTGCTACCACACTTGGCTCCCTATCTTAATTCAAAACCACTCCATAATCTGTTCTGGGAACTTTGGAATTTCAGTTCCCCGGATGAATCTGGCTTTTGGACCTTTGCACACTCCGATTCTGCCTGTCACTCCTGTTTGCTGACCTTCATAACTCCTACTCAACTCATAGGTCTGTTTAAAAGAAAAAAAAGGGGCTGGAGAGATGGCTCAGCGCTTAAGAGCACTGGCTGCTCTTGCAGAGGACCTGGGTTAAGTTCCCAGCACCCATGTGGTGGCTAAAAACCATCCATTACTTTAGTTCCAGGGGATCCAATGCCCTCTCTGACCTCTGTGGGCCTTGTATGACACGGGTACACTTAGATGCATGCAGACAAAACACTCCACATAAAAGTAAAATAAAATGAAGTATTAAAAGGAAAACCCATTTCCTCTGCAGGCCTGCTGTGAACTGGCAAGCTGGCATCAGGCGGCCTGCCTGCTTCTCAGTAGGTAGGAATCTTCCTGTTTTACCTCACTAGGATGAATACTCCTTGAAGACCATGGAGGCTGGTCAGTAGAGGTAATATTTAATAGGGTGAACAATACCTTTGCTGATAAACATTCCCATTCTGGAGCCAGAGACCAATACACGAGCATACTTTTTTCATCTCTCAACTGGAGTCAGATCCACAGCTCCTCCCTTCATGGTCCCTTCTCCCTGCCTCATGCCACCTAGGCCCCTGGGAAGGCCTCTTCTCACCAGCGGGGCTGCGGGGTATAGGGGTGTGTGTGTATCTAGGCAGCAGGCCAGAGTTCCTGCACTAAGCCGTCTCACCAGCAGGTGGCACTCGAAGTCCGCAGCTGAGCCGGCCTCTGCCCCGCCTGACTTCTGTCTGAGCTGTCAGCAGGGGCACATGCTGCCGGCAAGCTTCGGCTGTGCTAAGGCCAAGGCTTGCAGAGGGTGTACAGCCACCGCAGCTGCCTCCTGTTTCCCTGACTGGCAGCAGCCACTGTCCGCATTTCTCTTTTTCTAGAGTGTGCTTCAACCGGAGCTGAAACTAGGTGGGCACCAGAAGCCATGAAATCGATGTGTACCATCACAGCGTTCTTAAGCCCCCTTTGCTTAGCGACAGTCTCCAGGTTCTCGCTGCTTGTCTTCCTGGATCACACCGAACCCCAGGTTAAGGAACCCCAGCCGCTCCCTTGAAGATTTCTTGTGTAGGGGGTGGGGGGGTGGGGAAATGAATATTCCACTGAGGCTGAAAATGGACTTCAGGAGAAAGGGGGACAGGGAGAGAGTGAGGGTGGAGTCATTTAAAAGATGCTTGCACTGTGCTGATGTGTGATGTGCAAAACCTGCACTAAGACACTGGGGAGGGTAGAAGACAGGGTGCCTAAGAGGCAGGGGAGCAGCTAATTCAATGGAGAGGAAGCTGGCCTCCCAGAAAGGATACTGGAGACAGGCTGCTAAATGGCTCTGGAGGATGGCCTCTGCCTTCCTGGCGCAGCTCAGAAGATGCAGCTGGAGGTCCAGCTCTCCTCTCACTGCCGAGTACTCACTCCCTGGCCGTGTTCAGATTGAGGCCCTGCTTTGAGTGGAGTGCTTTGCTGTGGAGGAGGACCTGAGGGTTCTGAATAGCTGAAGGAAAGCACACTGGAAGGAGCTTAGGACCCACTGAGATCAACCTAACAGATGAGGGAACAGATGGGTCGTGACTAGCTCAACACCATATTGAATGAGTGGCAGAGCTGAGAGAACAAGACAACACTGTTGCTATGGTTCTGAAAATGGAGACCAGGTGACTCCACACTGCCACACCTAGTTCCTGTTACAGGTCACCAATAATCAAGGACTGTGTTCCCAAGCACGAAATGAAAATTACCCAAATTGCGCTGGGACAATGCCACCCTGTCCACTTAATTTTCTGTGCCTGTCTCAAGCTGCCCATGATGAGATGAGGAAGCACCAGCCCCTGGCAGGGAGAACACAGGTCTGCCACTATTGACACTTGCAACCCAGTGGAGATGAATTTCTAGAGGACCCTAAAAGAAAGGACACAAGAGCCTTTAGGGATATTTACTGCAAACTGTTATAATTAAAGTGATATTTTATGAATGCTTAAGACAGGGCAGACAGGATCTGAGGCAGGCCTGGGTGCTGCAGGTCCTTATGGAGGGGAGATGACAGGCTTGGGAATGGGGACTCAGTCACTGCTGCTTGGAGGCATCATGGGAACCTGAGAGGAAAGAGGGGAGCGGAGAGGACCACGGAGCAGCTACTTTAAACATGGAACTCTCCTCTGAGCACAAGGCCTTTCTGGAGCCAGCAGGACTGACACAGAGCCTTCCTCTGGCCAGGCTTCCTGCTGGCTCAAGGTGCTGGGTCCTCTTCATTATCATTCATTACACACTTCCTCCAGCCTGCCAGAGATTTTCCAAACTTGCAGTTTAAAAACAGCAGGAGAAAGAGCAGGGGCTGTTTTTGTTAATATAAATCCACAGTGGGGGGTGGGGGAACCCAGAAAAAAAGTGACTGGAGAACTGGATGCTTCCCAGGGCTGGCAGGTGTTTGAATGGTTTCCTGCACTCTTCATCTGTAGGGTGTTTGTTAAAGGAACTAACATCTCATCTTTTAAGATCCTTTGAGCTGATGACTGAAGACCCGGACAGGGAAGGGTAGAGAGGGAAGCCAGTTAAACCCCGAGGTGACTCCCAGGAAGAAAGGGGCACTACTCCCAGAAGCAGCTGCAGGATGGTTAAGTGGAGGCCACTGGGGGGCAGAGGGCAGGGTGCAGGGGTGCAGGAGGTAGGATGCTATTTGGGTAGAGCAAAGTCCCAGGCAGTTTCCTGTGCACATTTCCACATGGCCTGCATGAGACGGGTGAAGCCCATGTCCTTGGGCTTTTCCAGGCCTCTCATCAGCCGCTGCTTCATGATGGAAACAAATTCCTTATTGCTCAGCTCCCCATTGCCTGGAGAAGAAGGAAATGTGTAAGTGGAGACCTAGGGACAAAGCCACTGAGAAAACTTCCCTCACACCTTGTGGGCTCCGTAGCCTGCCAAGCTCAACTCTCTAGACTGCTTTGCTCCTTCCTTGATGTTTCCAACTGCAGCCTAGTGACAGCTGGAAAATACAGCATAAGCCAGGTTGTATGCCAGAATAAAAAGGAATGAGCTTTGTGCTTTGGCCCTTGAAATACTCCCTGGGTGCGGGACAGACAGGTGACAGAGAGGGAAGCACTATCATGGGCATTCAGAGGATGCTGTGGGTGCAGAGGGAGCCATGTGACTGCCGAGGAGCTATAGGTAGCAAGGTATTAGGACTCCAAGGAGAGGCCTCAGGCTTTGGATTCCACACCACCTCTCCACCTGGAAGGTGTCCCTCGGCTCAGTCCTTCACCTGGTGAGTGCTGTTCATCAGCAGCTGCTACCCAGAGGCCTTTACCCATCTGGGCTTTTAACCTAGCTGGGGCTAGACCTTCCTCTAGCTCTTTATTTTCAACATGGCACAGGACCGCTCTATTCTGTACGGAGAGAGCTGTCCATCTTTCTATAGACATCAAGATACTTGTGTGGCCCTTATCTACTTGCCAGCAACTTAAGGGTCTAATATTTTTGTTTCTTATTTTCCAGAGAAAATAAAATTTCTTTGGGACGCATCAGGATTGCAATTTGGGAAACCTAGATTCAAGCAGTCTTGAAAATGTGCTCCCTGTGCCAATTAAGACTCCTGTGATCATCAATTAATTTAAATCCACAGGCAAGTTGGAATTAAAAGAAGTAGGAAAAAAAAAACCAGAACCTAAACCAGGGCCAGGGTAATGTTTCTGTCTCATGATGCTGGGTGCCAAGTTGCTATGGAGGCAGCCACTTGCACACAAAGATGCCCCGAAGCTCCAACTATCAACAGGGTCTAGAAGCGAGTGAGGCCCAGTGTGCCCTCCTCACTCCACAGGGCCCCACTCACCGTCACAGTCAAAGAGCGCAAATACCACATCACACACATGGTCTGAGAGTTCGACTTTAGCCACTGTCCTGGCCACCTGCTGCATGGTCGCTGGGAGAAGACACACGATGGGTTAGTGCGGTACAGATGCTGCCAGTTTCCTCTCTGAATGGGGGGTAAGCCACTCACAAGTTTGCAATTATATTTAAGTCATATTTGAGAAAATCAGGACAGCTATGGTGGTGCACATCTGCAATTTCAGCTAATAAGGAGGATGAGGGAGGAGGATCAAAAATTTGAGGCCAGCTAGGGCTACATAGTAAGAACCTGTGTCAAGAAGACCAAAGTTCAAGGCTAGCCCAGGGAACTTAGAAACAGACTCAAAAAGCGATGGGGAACTGTGCATATAGCTGAGTGGTAGAGGGGAGAGAGGGACAGGAAGAGGGAGAGAGGGAAGAAGGAGAAAAGGAGAGAGGGAGAGAGAGAGGGAAAGGAAAATAAAAATTTATGTTTTTAAAAGTTTTTTTTTTTGTCTTTTTGAGACAGGGTCTCCCTTTAGGCCCAGCTGGCCTGGTACTTGCTCTGTAGACCAGGGTGGCCTCGAACTTGCAGAGATTCGCCTGCTTCTGCCTTCTGAGTGCTGAAATTGAAAGCTTTTGCCACCACGCCTGGCTTTTAATTTTTTATTTTAATTTTAATTTTTTAAAATATTTTATTATTTTTATTTTATGTGTATGCGTGTATTGCCTGCATGTAGGTAAGTACACTCCTGTTGTGCAATGATCCCCTGGAACTGGAGTTATGGATAGTTGTTAGCTGTCATGTGGGTGCTGGGATTCAAACACGGGTCTTCTGCAAGATCAGTTAGCGTTCTTAACCGCTGAGCCATCTCTCCAGCCCCCATGCCTGGCTTTTAAAATTTTAAAACTATTTTATTTATTTTAAACTATTTTTGGGGTTGGGGATTTAGCTCAGTGGTAGAGTGCTTGTCTAGCAAGCGCATGGTCCTGGGTTCAGTCCTCAGCTCTGGGAAAAAAAAAAAAGACAAAATAACAACAACAACAAAAAAACCAAGGCAACTAAAATATTTCTTAAAATTTAAAAACAAATTCGTATTCATTCTCTTTTTATGTATATGAGTATATTCCCTGCATGTATGTAAGTGTACTCATGTTGTGCAATGCCCATGGAGGTCAGGAGAGGGTGTTAAGATTTCCTGGAACTAGAATTATGCCAGTTGTTAGCCATTATGTGAGTGCTGGAAATCAAACCCGGGTCCTCTGCAAGAGCAGCCAGTGCTCTTAACCACGGAGCCGGAGCCGTCTCTCCAGCCCCCAAGAATTTAGTTTTTATTCACACTCACTTCCACTACTGCTGTACTTTTAAGGTGGTAAATGAAGGCCCGATAGCCAGCAGAGTATGGTGGTGCAGGCCTCCGATCCCAGCGCTCAGGAGCTGAGGCAGGAGGATCAAGAATTTGAGATTGGCTACGCACACACGATCTCAAGTAATAACAACAGTAAGGAATGTCTGGCACTAACTCAGAGACAGAAAGTAGATTCTCAGAAGTTAGAACTTAATGGGCACAGATTTTGTTTGTGATGATGGAAACATTTTGGAAGTAGATAGTGGTAAGCTTTGTACAGAATCATGAATGTGGTTAATGTCACTTTTACACTGAAAAATGGCTACATGGGGGCTGGAGAGATGGCTCAGTGGTTAAGAGCACTGGCTGCTCTTGCAGAGAACCTGGGATTCAGTTCCCAGCAGCCACATGGTGGTTAACAACCATCCATAACTCCAGTTCCCAAGGGATCCGACGCTCTCTTCTGACCTCCATGGGCATTGCACAACATAGGTGCACTTAGATACATGCAAGTAATACACTCATACACATAAAAATAATAAATAAAATGCTGGGCGTGGTAGTGCACGCCTTTAATCCCAGCACTTGGGAGGCAGAGGCAGGCAGATCTCTGTGAGTTCAAGGCCAAGCCTGGTCTACATAGTGAGTTCCAGGACAGCTGGGGCTACAGGGAGACCCTGTCTCAAAAAGACCAAAAAAAAAAAAAGAAAATAAAGAAAATAAATAAAATATTTAAAAGGATAATGGCTACAATGTATTTTATGTCCAATTAAAAAAATATTTTATTATTTTTATTTTATGTGTATGCATGTATTGCCTGCATGTAGGTAAGTGCACCCATGTCATGCAATGCCCGCGGATGACAGAAGAGGCTGTCAGATCCTCTGAACTGGAGTTACGGACAGTTGTTAGCTGCCATGTGGGTGCTGGGATTCAAACCCGGGTCTTCTGCAAGAACAACCAGTGTTCTTAACCACTGAGCCATCTCTCCAGCCACCACAACCAATTTCTAATAATTTAATTGATTAGCATGCATGTGCATGCAGGTGGGGGGGGCATTCGTGTGCCATGGTGGGTCAGAGGAGCTGGTTCCTTCCTTTCACCTTGTTAAGGGAATCTTTCTCTTTTTCTGTCTCTCTCATTCCTTTTTGCTGCACTGAATGTTCCAGGTTAGCTGACCTGGGAGCTTTGGCTGATTCTCCTGTCTCTACCTCCCATCTGGGATTACAAATGTGTACCATTGCATTCTTTTTTTTTTTGTGAGACAGAGTCTCCGTGTAGCCCCAGCTGGCCTGGAACTATGTAGACCAGGCTGGCCTTGAACTCACAGAGATCAACCTACCTCTGCCTTCCGAGTGTTGGAACTAAAGGCATGCGCCACCATGCCTGGCTAAATAATTTTTATTTTATGTGTATGACTGCTTTACTTGAATGTACATAAGTGCACAACATGCATACAATGCCCCTGGAGGCCAGAAGAGGCGGTTGAATTCCCAGGAACTGGATTTAAGGATGGTTACTGGCCGCCATATGAGTGCTGGGGACTGAACCTAGCTCCTCTGGAATAGGAGCCAGTGCTCTTAACTGTGGGCTATCTCTCTGGCCCCAACCACTTTATTTTTTGAGACAGGGTCTCTCACTGAAACTGGAGCTCATTAAGTAGGTCATCCTGGCTGGCCAGTCTCAACTCCCCTCACCCTCCCAGCACTGGGGTTACAGATATGCATCACTGTGCACAGCTTTTTATGTGGGTGCAGGGGATCTGAACTCAGGTATGCTTATGAGGCACTTTACCAACTGAGCCATCTCCCCAGTCCAAGGCAACTTTACTAATGAATTACTATCAGGAGTTTTTTAAAAAAATAAAACAGTATTAGCTGGGTGTGGTGGTGCATGCCTTTAATCCCAGCACTCAGGAAGCAGAGGCAGGAGGATTTCTGTGAGTTTGAGGCCAGCCTGGTCTACATAGTGAGTTCCAGGACAGCTGGGGCTACAGGGAGACCCTGTCTCAAAAAGACCAATAAATAAATAAATAAATAAATAAATAAATAAATAAATAGACAGTATTTACAGGCTCCTTGGCATTTTCCTTATACTGGCAAAAACATAACAGAAAAAAGCCAAGGAGGTAACAAGGAAGCAGAAGGAAGAGGAGGCAGAGAACAAGGACTGTGTGCAGTGTGAGCGGGGGAGGACCAGGGTGCGGTGTGAGCAGAGGCCAGTGTGTGGTATGAGAGGGGGAGGCCAGTGTGTGGTGTGAGCGGGGGAGGCCCAGTGTGTGGTGTGAGGTGGGGAGGCCAGTGTGAGGTGTGAGTGGGGGAGGCCCAGTGTGAGGTGTGAGCTGGGGAGGCCCAGTGTGTGGTGTGAGTGGGGGAGGCCAGGGTGCAGTGTGAGCAGGGGAGGCCCAGTGTGAGGTGTGAGCTGGGGAGGCCCAGTGTGTGGTGTGAGGTGGGGAGGCCAGTGTGAGATGTGAGTGGGGGAGGCCAGTGTGCGGTGTGAGCGGGAGGCCCAGGATGCAGTGTGAGTGGGAGGTCCATGACTCAATTCCCAATAGAGTCTGGGCCCTGCATGGTAAGCTCTTTGCTCCTCTAGTCCCCTTCTCCTTCGCCAGTTTTGTACCAGTCCCCCCTTTTTTTGTTATATTTTATTTATTTTTTATGTGTATGAGTGTTTTGCCTGCATGGATGAAGTGCATTAAATATGCATGCAGTGTCTGCAGAGGCCAGAAGAGGGTGTAAGATCTCCTGGAACTGGAGACTACAGACAGTTGTTAGGCACCATGTGGGTGCAGGGAACTGAACCCAGGTCCTCTGCAAGAGCAGTCAGTGCTCTTACCGGCTGAGCCATCTCTCTGGAGCCGGTACCAGCTACTTTACCTTCTTCCACTGTGCCCCTGGAGGAGCAGGGACTGCTGTCTCGCTACATCACCACACAGCTTTTTTTTCTTTCAATTTTTTTTTGGCCTCAATAGAAAATCTCTCTCCTCTTCCCACTTTCTTCCTCTGACATTTACTGTAAAATACTAGCAATCATGTGAGAATTGGCTTTTCACGAAAGAGAAGCCAGGGAGAACCAGGCAATTTCCGCTGTCTTCCCTCTCATTTATCCTCAGGCCCGGCCTAGCTATGCCTATAAATTATGTTACTGCTTACACATCAACTCCTAAGTGAGGTAAGACTTGCAGGAAAGATCAAGTCTGTTTACGGACCCAGTGGCGAAGAGATGCCCTGAGCGACTATCACTCTAGACTCAACCTAGACTCAACAGACGCAATGCACGCTGGGACTAGTCATCGGGCCTTTTCTGCTTATGTCATTTTTATAATGTCTTGACATTTTTTTCTGGGTTTGATTTCTCACTTTGTGCCTATCACCTCCATATATATATATATATTCACCACACTCCCTCCAAGGTCAACAGACACAAATATTGTGGTGTGGCAAAACTGCCTCGTGTCATAAGATAGGGCTCTGGGCGAGTGGCTCCACCCTGACGGAGCCGCTTGATCTCTTAAGATTTAACCTCCTCATAGTCAAATAAGAAGATGCCACAAGACAGCTGCTGAGGGAGCTTGGTGCACAGAAAAGTGTTTATTGGTGTTTATTTTAGAGTGTGAGGGTGATGATAGGTGGAATTATCTGGAAATAGCTGAGGCTCTTGCCTGGCAAAAGGCAGAGGAAATGTACCCTGGCCACAAGCTGGGCTGTACCTCAGTAGAGAGCCTCCGGCTTGAAGGGACCAGGCT